CTTCCCAGCCAACAGAGCTGCCTTCCCCCGCAGGGGCCAGGGAGGAGGGAAGCTGCTGCCCAGATAGGAAAGAGAGACTCTGTGGACTGTGCCACAGAGGGAGGGGGCTGTGTCTGTGAGGTCTCAGCGCTCTTTCTCACCCTGTTTTGGCTTCCTCTGGTTCATTCCTTCATTTGCGACTTTATCACTTGTCCAAGTATTCATGTGTCTATCTATTCGTTTCCTTCTGGACATATACCATGCAGTCAGGACTCAGCAATGAACCAGACACAACCTGTGCCCTCAAAGAGCTTGGTTTGATGGGCAAAGCTGGCAGAAGCTGAACAAGGGCTCCAGGTGGTACAGGGCAAACATGGTGGGGGCTGGGTGGAGAGGGGCACGTTAGAAGAGGCTCCACAGCAGAGGGGCTGAGGTGAGCCTTTAAAATGTTTGCAGGTAGAGAGGGTATGTGTGAGTGTGTGTGTGTGTGTGTGTGTGTATGTGCGTGTGTGCGTGCGCGCATGCGTACATGCACGCACTAACTTGAGCTTGGTCATTTGGGTGGTGAGAACACAATACAAACACGCAGACAAAGCAGGAAATGGAACACTGGAGTGGTTCCTTTTGCAGATGGAGGACAGTAAGAAACGTGTGCAAAGGATTCAAAGGAAGAGCTAAGGAGCTGAGGATAGCTGAAGGGTACACCTTTCAGGGGAATGCACAGAGGGGAGGGAGGGAACATATAGGTTTCACCAGGACAGGATCCAAGCCACACATCGCACAAAAGGGCAGACAGCTGCCGGAAGACCTCAGGCTTATTTCCCACAGGTCACAGACTCTGAAAGCCCCTGACATCAGCTCACAGCTGCAGAACAGGGGCTTCTGTGCAGTCACAAGGCAGCCAGGACAGTTTGCCCTAGATCTGCGCCAGGAGCAGGTCCCAGCCCAGTTTAGCCCTGGGAGAAGGGTCTTTGCTCACAGTACTCCCTCCACTTGGAAAGCCTGAATCACTGCCCTCAAAGCCCTAGACACCCTGACATCTCTGCTCCAGTGCACCCACCCTTGTGTAGATGATCTGCCCTCCCGTGTGCCTGTGGGATCTATCTGTCATTCTGTCCTGAATTAAAAGTCACCAATGGACTTTGCTATTTCCTTCAACTGTTCCACTGTTTCCACTGGGAGAGTCTCATGTTGATACCAAGCTGTATGTATCCTCTGAGTCAGCAGTCATGCAACATGGTCATGCCCATCAAAAGTGGCTTGGAAGACCCCTCTAAAAATCTCTGTGGATGCAAAGGACCCCAGGGGTTTGAAAGAAGTAGGAAAGAGAGACACCCAAGGCTCCAGGCGCTGGCCAGACTTCCCTGCACTCTCCCACCCCGAGGGAGACTCTGGAATCATGTTTTCCCTCTCTGTTTTGGGTTGAGCCTGTGTTTGGTCCCTGGAGGTGTAGCCATTATTTCTCTCAAGGTTTCAAGGGGGCTCAAGAGCAGCTCATATTTCTCTGTTTGGCAAACAGTCAGTCCCCTGCCTTCCTTCTCCGGAATTAGGAATCCCAGAAATTAAAGCCAGAGGGACTCAGGTTTCTTTCTGAGAAGAAGCCGCCGCAGCAGATGCCAGCCGAGCCCAGGAAATCCAGCCAGGAGGGGGCACACAGGGTCTTGGGTTTTCTGGGAGGCAGGCGGGGGTGGGGGAAGCCCTGGACACTGCTCTAATACTGCAGGGGCAGGCTCAGGTTCCCAGCCCACAGCAGAGAACCCTTTCTTTCAAATCTGCGTCGCAGCCAGCGAGGACCAGCAGCAGCCATGATGCTCTCTGCAGTGGGCACGGTTCCCTTTGGGTGGAGAGAGAGCGGCAGCTTTTCATGCTAGAGAAGGGCTGGGAAGGAGCAGGTCCCCGCTGAGGGAAGCAGGCCTAGCCCAGATGCCAGCAGACAGGGAGCGGGAGCAGGAGGAGGGATGGGAAGGAGCCAGGCTTCTGAGCACAGGCTTGGAGATGGCAGGCGGCTGCTTACAGGAGGAGCAGAGCTGACACCTGAATCTTGGCTCGCTTCCCCCCTGGAGAACACTTTAATGAGGTTCACAGCTGTAATATCACAGAATGAGCATTAACAATGCTAATTACCTAAAGTTTAGCCTGAACAGTCTCAACCCACCCGCCTTGGGGACGCACTTTTGTTCTGGCCCTGCTAGGCTGAGGCTTGTGATGATGCTGTGACAGCAGAGGGCTGGGGGGTGCGGGCAGGGAGCCCCGCAAGTTGCACGGACCTGCCGGGAGAGGACAAAATGAGAGCTCCTGCTAATGAATCAGTGCCCCTTCACTCTGCCTGTGAGAGCCCCGACCTGGTGGAGGCCAGGTCTCCTGGACAGAGCTGGGAACAGACTGAGTCCATTTGTGTGGTCCATTTGTACCTGAAGAAAATCAAGTCTCCTCCTCCCACTGCTTTCAGTGGCCTCGGGGGGACTCCCTGTCCCCTGCCCGCCATCCCACCCCAAAGCGACAGAGCCATCAATAATAAGAACCTGTGCTGGCCAAAGGTGGGAGTTGAAGGGTGGAGCTCAGGAACCTTCCTTCCTGCCCTGTCCCTAGGACTTCCGGGCATTCTGAAATCCATCTCAGAATTCCAGGCCTCTAAAGAATCAAGTTGGAAAAATCACTGCTCTGGAACAATCTAAGCGTCTGGCACCTTCGTGTCCCACACCATCCCAAGGCACTGTGTGGAGACAGGCTTTGTCGGGTGCCCCACACGGTCTCTGACTTGGCGAGGTCGGGAACTGAAGGACAGACACGGTCATTTGTGTGTGTGCGTACCTCGATCCACTTTGCTCCTTGCCCCAACGTACCTGAATCTAGCAGCCCTCAATTTACTGAGCCTCATGCCTGTATCTATACAAATCAAAAGTTACCCAGCGAGATGCTGTAAGACCTAGAACTTCTGATTCGTCTCCAGGAAACTTTCTGCTAACCCAAGGAGAAAGACCTATGTTATATCCCTGACGGCCTTACCACGGGGCCTCTTCCATTAGCCTCCTGTCTCCGGTATCTTTCGTCTGCCCTTCCCAGCTAGCTCACCACCATTCTGAGCTTTTTCCTCTTCCCAAGGACAGTGCACAGAAAATCCGTTCTGCTCTATGTCTGACTGACTGCCCTTTGGCTCCCTCCATGTTTTCCGCTTCCTCTTCCATCCTGCCAGCTTCCTGGTCTGTTAGTGACTTTTCCAGGCCCAGCAGACCAAAGCCCTTTCTCAGCAGCTAGTGAAATGAGGCTGTCGTAGGTCATTCGAACCACTGTAACATAATATCTTAAACTGGCTTAGAAACTATGGGGATTTATTTCCCACAGTTCCGAAGGCCGGGAAGTCCAAGATCAGGGTGCCGGCACACTCCGTGTCTAGTGAGGGCCCTTTCCTCATAGTCACTATCATCACACTTGCACCTCACGTAAGGAAGGGGCTGGAAGCCTCTCTTGGGCCTCCTGTATAAGGGCACTTGGCCTATTTGTGAGGGTGCTGCCTCCACAAGCTAATCACTTTGCGAAGACCCCACTCCTGATACCAGGGCCTAGGAAAGGGGACTTCAGCACAAGGTTTTAGGAGGAATATAACATTCAGATCACAGTGGCTTAGGATGCAAACTGCGGCCCCTGGGATTCGAACAGAAGCACATACAGCCCTGCATGCAAATGAAGGCCTGCACTGCAGGTGTGCGTGTCCTCTTTTCCTTCCTGGACTTCGTTATGAGCTCAAGGCCCTCGCACTACTAGAATCAGCAGTTCTGCACTGCAAGCCCAGCTGTCACCTGAGGCCACTTTGGGTGAAGGGCTGGCCTCTTTCCTCTGGCCCCTGGATGCGGCCATCACTCCCCCTGCAGGGAAGGTTCAACAGCCTGCTCGATGGCCCATGTCTGCGGCAATAATCAATGGCTCTCCTGCTGAAATAACGGGCCACCTCATGCTGACAACAGCAAGCCTAAAGGCCGGGAATGACTCCTTGAAGAACAGGGAGCGCATACTCCGCGGAGGAGCCGAAGCTGGCATGGTATCCGCCGCTGCTGCGCCCCTGTACCCTGCTGGAACGCACAGGTGGGTTCCCACCGGGAGCACACTGAGACCCGGCCCGCCGCTCTCCCGACCACCCCCACCCCTAGCCCACTGTGTCGTTGCCTGTCTGGTGCCTGCCTCCTGGTAAGACTGTACGCCCCCAAGGGAGCGGGCTTTGTCTACCCTACTGTGACCCCAGTGCCTAGCTCGTGAAGGAAGCTTCGTTTCTTTGTTTATCTTTAATTTAGTTTTGCAAAACTGACTCTTCACTTGTAGCCAAGGGAAAGCAATCACCATGCGGACCGGGAGTCCTGACCCCAGAAGCTGCTCCTTTAAGGTTGTTGTGAAGCCGATTCTGGAGACTCTGGGGCAGGTGTAGCTTCTGTGCAGCCTTATGCTTGCCCAGGCAGCCATCTTGTTGCCTTTTATGGAAGGAGCTTCAGACCTGAGAGGGAAGAAGGAAGGGGTGGAGGGAGGGAGGGAGGAGGGAGCTGACTTCTAGAGGGCGCTGAACCCAAGGCCTCTCTGCCCTCCTGTGTTCCCCGCCCCCACTATGATCATCTCCGAGTCCCTGACCTTCCCTCGGCCTGAAATTCCAGTGAGCTAGCTTTGGAAAGCCCTATGATCTTTGCAGAGGGGTCTCTTGCAAACGAGCTGCTACGCCGCTGCCAGGTTGAGCTCTCGGGTGAGGCCTGAAACTGTGATGCCTGCTGTGCCCATGAAAGCTGCTAGGGCAGTTTCCCTGGAGCCCAGTGTTTGATGGGCTCAGAATCCCATCACCATGGAGCTCCTGGAGTCTTCTTGTAAGTGCCAGGTGCTTCTCTAGCAGCCGGTGCACATGCATGCATGTGTTCACACACATGCACACACCCGTAACACATTCCCACTGCACACCTCAACACGAAAGGGCTCCACCCCCACACAATGCGCACATGTGCCATTGATCTCGTACAGATCGGGGGGGAAAAAATAACGCAGAGTTCCCAGGAGTTTTAAAGCCTTTTATTTGTTTACACATTCTCTAAATTGCAGACAAAAGATTTGCTACGTGGGTAGTCAACACTGCTAACCAATCACAGAACAAGATACTAACCACAGCAAGGAAGAGACAGGGGGCTTGTCTTTGTGAATGTGGAAGGGTCCCGCTAAGGGACTAAGATATCCAGGGGTTCAGATATCCAGGGTCCCGCTAAGGGACTAAGTCTTTGTGAATGTGGAAGGGTCCCGCTAAGGGACTAAGATATCCAGGGGTTCCAAAAGAGCAGCTGCTGGATGCCCACACCGATCAGCATCGCATCGGCTTGCAGTCTTGACCTCCCCAAGGCCCCCCTCCCAGAACCCAGTGAGGACAGGAGGAAGGGTGGGGAGAGGAGGGTCCAGCTCATGCACAGCGCTCCTGCCAGCCTTCTGAATGCAGAGCACTTGCGTCTCCCTCCAGACACGTCCTAGGTCAGTGAGCCGGCATCCAGACGTGAGCCATTTCCAACCTGTGGGTTCTCCTGGAGACATGCGTGGTACGCCAGCGTGTCCCCCCACATCTCCAATACTGAAACATCACAAGATCTCGACACACCCCTTAGACTGGGCAGAAACATCACAGCACTTTTCACAGTAGGAGCCACAAGAAGAGTAGGAATTGACACCTGGGAGACACGAGCATTCCTAGAAGACAGAGGACCAGAGCACACACACACCTAGAGACTGAGTCTACAGTCGCATCACACCTGAAGGAGGAGTGGAGCCAGCAGGGTGGGGGACGGGCATACTGTTCGCTTGCTGCTGTGGTTGCTTTTTAGAGAAGGCAGAGGAAGTCAAATGGAAATATTGTCCTTGGACCATTACACACAACTTCCCCAGTCTGCAGCCCTTCTCTCTAACCTCATGAAAGCCGTACTGGTCTCAGTGTTGCACATCCAGGCCAAGCAGCTCAAGGCAAAAACTCTTGTTGTTCAGTCAGCAAGAGGCAATGTGGTGTTGGGTACGGAGGTCCAATGGGGTCAGCGTTCAAGAGCGTGAAAGAAAGCCCCTCATTCATAGACACTTCTAGTGCCGCAGGCCAACTCTCTTGGTCATTTTTTATGACTGAGTTTCAAAGGAGTTGGGGCAGTGGGTAAAAGGCAAGAAGCACATGAGGAGGATGACGATAAAACACCGGAACAGCTCCTTTTCTTGTGCCCACACTTTAAGACGTGTGCTTCATATGTACAGGTCGAGAGATACCATGGAGGCCAGTGACTGGAGATCACCAGAGCGTGCAAGATCCTTTTCTAAATGCAGCCCAGAGCTTTTGAGGGCAGTAAATTCCTAAGACCGTGAGACAACCAGGGTAGATTCACCAGCTGGGACAGAGCAATGGAAACTAACGTCATTCCCCAGCGCCTCACGCCTGACCCAAGCCAAGGCTTTCACGCCCTGCACGGAGCCTGCACAGACCCACGCTTCCTCACAGGGCAGTGGGACAGTCACCGCCCCCTGCCCTGCTACCCCAGGAGCCGCTGGCTTAATCCCGCCCAGAGGAGCCCTGGCTCATAAGCAAGGGCCACCCTTGCCAAAGCCACCGCTCCAGCCTCTCGCCGAGGAGGCAGAGGGACAGGCAACTAGAAGAGAAAGCCAGTTTCTTTTGGCTTCCTGGTGAAGATGCTCCACATCTTGGCCACCAAAAGGGGAGCGTTATGGAAACAGTTTTAAGATTTGGAAGGAGAGTGGAGTTGGTTGTGGACTTGGTTCTGGCTCTTTCTCGGATCAGCTGTGACATGGACAGGCATGCCTGTCGTTCCTCACCTCTCCGCGTCCTAAAGGTCCAGCCGGCCAGCTTCAGGCTGGGAAGGGGTCTGACAGTGCGTGCAGATGGAGGAGGGGAGGGGATCCTGTCAGAGCTCTGCCCACTGGGCTCTCAGGCTCCCAGCTCCACCCCTCACAGAGCTGAGGGCCTGAGGGCTCAAGGTCCCCTGACAGCTGCTTGGGACAGTGCCCCCAGTCTGGCCCGGATAGAATCCAAGGCAGGTGGCTTCCTCTCTCTCCTCTGCACTAGCGCTAAAGATGGGAAACCTCCATTCATAAGCAGTTTTGTTCTAAAGAATCTTCCCCACATCTTTCCAATGCATGGGTGGACTAAAGCCCAGGAGACGTCTCCGGCTCTCCAGCACTTTAAGACCACAGACTCACAGCCAAGCCTTGAGTCCTCTCCACAGAGGTCACCAAAAGCCCCCTTGCTCAGAGTCATGGGTGCACAAGAGCCCCCTGAAGACCGCTTTAGGCCAGCCCTGAGCTGACCTCTCCGCACAGGAAGACACGCGCCTTCCCCACGCCAGGCATTTCACCTGCAAGCCACCCTAGTGTCGCTTCTTCGGGGAACAGCTGAAAGCCGAAACCCGGCTCTGACATGTGCAGAGAGAGGGAGAGATGGAACAAACGGCTGATTCCTGACGCTGTCAACACAGACAACTGGCGGTGAAATGAAGCGTGAAGCTAGGATCTGAAGAGCCCCTGACCAAAGGCAGGCAGAGAGGGTTACTGCAAACACCTCCGACACTGGCTTTCACACACACACACACACACACACACACACCATCCACGTGCTACAGGCTCCTGGATGCCGAGCCCACCTTGCCAGGGTCCCCAGGAGAGTCCATCTAACCCGTGTGCTAGGCTCCTGCCCCACCCCACCCCTGACTCTCCAGCAGGGCCTGGACAAGACTATCATGTGGGTCACTTCCTACCACTGGTCAGGTCCTGCTGATTACACCTCTCCACCCTCCACCGCAGGAACCAGAGAGCAGCGTTCAGAGACACAGCCTCAGACTCCCTGGTGCTCAGCACAGTCCGACTAGACGTCATGTCACTAGCTCTCAGGTGAACGATGTTCCTCTTCCAAGGGCAGCCAGCATGTAGAGAAACATAAAGGCAGTTAGGCTGAGGACACCTGAGTTCTTCTCCCCAGCCTCCAGAGGATGGAAATAACCAGATGTTTTCACCTGCTAGTCTTCCTCTGATGAATATACATCGAAAAGAGAGACCCGGGTGTATGCCTACACCTTCCCCTGAGGTGAGATACTTGACAAAGGACCGGGATTCTGAAGGACAGTTTACTTTTACAGCTAAGAAGCAGCCTGTAGGCTGGGCCTGCATGTAGTTTTTCCAGCCCCTGTAGTACCTAGAGCATCACACTGCACATAGTCGAGGGCCTGCCAAGTGTTTTAACCAGCACCAGTCTCTGCAGCAATTGCTCTTGGCAAGCAAGAGCTATTCCCATTTGCTTTCAGAGAAAAAACACCCAGAGTGGACACACAGCAGAGAAGTGGTGGACCGCTATGATGGATACCCTTTTCCCTGCCAGAGGAGCACGAGTGTTTCATAAGCACTCATCATTTCTTGCCCGAGCATGACCGGCCTGCCTCCCCAAGTGCCGTGTGGACCGGGCACCCTGGTTACCGGGACTCCCTGCCTGCCTCCCCCGCCAGCTCCCCACCTCCTCTGCTCTGAGATGAACGTTCTGTGTTTTCATGCACTCACTCACACACTATCTCGCGATGTTTCCTTTGCTTCTTTGTAGTCCCTAACTGAGACTTCTCCATCTACATGTGTTGAAAAGGTGCGCAGCGACAATTTCTCCCTGGACTGTGCTCTTTTGTTCCACCGCCACCGTGCTCTTCAGCATCTTGCGTGGCAGGAGGGAAGGAAGAGAAAGGTGCAGGGAAGGGAAAGGCAGGAGAAGAAATCGCAGTCTCCGTGGGCAATAAGCGCGAAAGGGGGACGTCAATAAAAACCCTAAGCCCTCGTCTAACCATAGTCTTCACATCCCTGTGATAGCAGAATTGGGACTTTGTTTGACAAGTCCTCAACTGTTACTAAGCATCTGTCCCGAAGAGGCAGAGGTGAGCTGGGGACAGACGGATGGAGTTGGTGGGACCAGTGGCTTCCTAAGCACAAAGGCCCCTTTACGACAGCAACTCCTGTGGCCCTGCAGGGGCTGGGCGCTTGAGCTTCTGGGCTGCTGAAGACTGCATGGACACGTGGGTCTTGTGGGCCAGCTGCTGGATCTCCCATCCTGGGGCAACACCAACAGCTCCCTGGAATTCATCGAGCAGGGTGTGTGTGTGTGTGTGTGTGTGTGTGTGTGTGTGTGTGTGTGCGCGCACATACACACATCTCTGTTCCCGTGGATATTAATATTAATACAGAGAGTTGAGCCAAGGAGATGCGGAGAGTGTAAATTTAACCCGGGGATTACAGGGTTGTGCTGTTGAGGGACTTCCTAGTCCCCCAGGGCTCCCGGCCACCCCCACTTCCTACAGGGACTGCTTCCGGCCCACAGCAGCGCCTACTTGCCAGGCTGGGCTGGTGCCGACCTGGACAGCCATCTTGCTCGCTGCCCGGGCTAGCAGGCGTTATTAGTAATTACGTTTCTGTCCAAGAGGGTTCTGGCCGCCTGCCAGTCCCAGGGCTGCCTTCCTCTGGCCTGCCCTGGAAAATGTCATCATCAGCACAAACACTGCCTTTTCACGGTGGGGCCAAAGCAGGGGAACCAGGGAATGTCCCTCTTTCAAGGCCTCTGCCCCTCAACCTCCACCCAGCATTGGAGCAAAGAAGACGGGGAGGCGAGGACAGGGACTGAACCCAGGGGCCCTCCTGTGCCCTCTAGCCCCGTGACATCCCTCACAGTCTCGGGGCTCTGGGGATCACCTCAGTCTTACTCAGCTGAGGAGTCACAGCCTGGGTTCGCTCAGAACCCAGAGGCAGTCTTGCTGGGACCCGGCCTGTTTCTCAGTCTTTCTCCTCACACAGGAACTTGCCTGCTCCTTCTGGGAAACTCACGTGATGTGGCACTGGCTGGCAGGGACCCCAGTACCTCTGCTTCCAGGGCTTCCTGCAGGTACTGCCCCAAGGCTGCTCCCACAGCCAAGCCTCCGTGGGAGCGGCTGTCGAGGTGCTCAGAGGAGCCCCCCACCGCAGAGGGCTCCGCTCCCCCTCCCACGCCCAGGTGCCGAACCACCGGCACTGCATCCTCCTCTCCCCTCCTCCCTCGCAGAGCAAGTTCCCCACCTGTCTCTCATGAAGACCAGAGGCTCTCCAGCCTCCTCAGAACAGGATTCCCAGTGCTCAGAGGCCCCAGCTAGCTGCCCCAAAGGCCCCGAACCAACCCATCCATCCTGCTGTTTCTGACTCAGGGCAGGTAGCTGTGGCGTCTGGCTGAGAATCACAAACATGCCGAAAGCCTGGGCATGCTCAGAAATAGGGAAGGGGCCCGAATCAGACAACTGCAGAGCCCACCTTCAGAGGACAGATAAATCAGAGCCAAGAACAGTCGGGGCTGCATGGGGAGACTTGCAACCTGAGGCGAATTAGAATGTCTGTTCCTTCCCCGCATCCTGCCCATCCCTCCCCTGGTGTACTAATGCACGTGGGCATCTGAAAACCAAAGGCATCCTTTGTGGGTAGGAATAAGACTCCAAAAAGTGTAGCACAGTGGGACGTGGGGAGAGTCGTGTCACTGGATCAGGTGCAGGGGACAGGACTGACCCTTCTTCCGGGATGCCTTCCTCCCTCATACCCAGGCTCGCCAGCCTACCGAAGTCCTAACGGTGACATCAACGTGCTACCCCTGAAAAGAGCCAGGCGTGGGACTCAGGGCTTCTTTGGTGCGAGAGAGAGCATGGTTCTGGCCCTGGGGAGCCAGTTTCCCCCTTGAGCTGTGACATTGACTCTCTAAGGAGAGACCAAGGGGCCCATCGGGGGGGGGTGGGAGAAGAAAGGGAAGCACTGTCATGTCAGCCCTTCGGAAACAGGCTGGAACCAGCCGGGGCGGGGCAAGGTGGTCCTCAGGACCTGCCTGGGCCACCAGCCAAGCACACGTGGATTCCAAGAGGAGTCTGGCAGCCCCTTCTATCTGAGTCTGGAACCTGGGGTAGCCAGTAATCTTTCTTCAACAACGCAGAGGAGCACAGGTCTCCTAAACTTGCCCCTGAAGGAAAAGTAGTTACAATCCTGTCATTTTTATTCCTTAAAATATCTGGACTTTTTAAGGGGAGGGCTGGAAGGAATCACGCTGGATTCAAAGCATGAAGATAAAAAGTGCACCGGGAGTGAAACTCCCCAGGGTGCCACAAGACCTTCACTGTGAAATGCAGGCCCTCCCCGCTATCGAAACCGGTTATCTCCCCCCTCTCTGAAGGAATCTGGCCTCCCTCCTACCTACCCACGGGGGTCTGAGCCTGAGCCACAGGAAGCAGCTCTCGGCAGCCCAGCTCTGCAACCTCCCCTAGGTTCCTGCCTGGCCCCAGGCAGCAACAGAAAAGCAGAGCCTCTGGAGCGCTGGCTCCTGCCTCAGGTGCCACGCGTGAGGCTGCTGGAGTATAAATCTCTTAACAGGGGCCTCACTTCTCTTTCCTCACAGAGCTGCCTTCCCTGGATTTACTGCAGGCCCCAAAATTAGTGTTTCAAAAATGTCAAGAAGGAAGCAGGATTTCCCACACCACACCAGGCCCATGCCACCATTACTTTAACCCCTGCGATCACCTGGCTACACAGTGCCTGTGGGCCAGGAGACTTGGAGAGAAGTACTCACTTGACCAAGATCAACCAGTGGGAACAGGCAGAGCAAGGCTTTAAATCAAGGGAGAAGTGAGTGTGGCACCGGAAGTGAAAGGAATCCTGCCCTCTGTAGAAGGGGTTTCCATTCCAAGCTGGTTAATCCTGTAGAAGAGAGTATCTGGAGTATCTTCATCCTAAAGCACTCGACCACATGGTAAATCCTACTTCCCAAGACAGCCTGTGAAAGCCAGGCTCCTTGGGCCCAGCCCTGGCCTGGTGGCCCTGACTACAGGTAGCCTGGGATCTTGAAATGTAAATCCCCTTGAGTCTACAGGGAGATCCCAAGAAGGCATCCAACCCTGGCTATCACACGAGAAGGCAGACATGAAAGCATGCGGAGTCCTGCCCAGATAAGCTCTGCTCTGCAGTGGCTGCTCACGTAATATTTTTTAAGACTCCCAGTAGGAACAGGCAGGGCAAGTGTTAGCATCTCCATTTTACACGTGGGCAAAGTGAGGCTCAGGGATATTAAGTGACTTGCCCAGGGTCACACAGCTATTCAGTGGCAGCGGCAACACTGAAACCCTGACCCTTCACAGGCACCCTATGATTCTATCTCATTCTCAGGGGTTTAAGGAAACAGACTCATCTGAAGTTTACAAAAGGCTTCCCTTTACCAGTGCAGAAGGTGATAAATGTGACTCTGGACGCTTTCCTCCGCTTGCACAACCCGAGCAGTGCCATTCCACAAGCTGCTCTGCTTTCTCCACTTTCTAGGTGGGGATACTGAGGCACACAAAGAAGAAGGAGGTCATTACTTCCCATTCTGCCGGGAGTAATGACACTGAGAGCGGAAGCCTGGGGCTTTTCTGCTGTGACCCCAGAGCCCAGAGCAGCTCCGGCACCCCGCCCTGGCTCAGGAGGCTCGGTCCGCCCTCAGCTCCGAGAGCTGGGCAGACATGGCGGAAGGCAGAACAGGCGCCATCACCTGCACTTCCTGGGGAACGGCTTTGCGCGTTCTCCACAGGAGGACTGGTCAGGCCGTAAAGCCACAATTTTGGATTTCAGATTTGTCTATTTAACTTTTAAGCCACTGGGGCATTTGGCAATATTGAGGAATTTTTTTTTTTCCTGTAATTAATTTAAAATGACTCTCCAAACCAAAAACCAGGCTTTGAGGAGACCCTGCTTTGGGGTTTGTGGGAGGACAGTGAGACAGAACAGTCATAAAACAAAATGTCCCCCTCCACGGTGACGGCACCCTCCCAGCCCTACCTTGGGCCTTCAGTGTCCAGACCAGCTCACCGACTATCAGAAGGAAGAAAATAGCTGATGAGGAAGACGAAAATCCCATCTGGACAGGGGCCCTTTAAAAGAAATCGTTACGTATGAGTGTAACTCATTCTGAGGCCACGGGCCCTGCAGGAGAGTGACCCCGTTCTCCTGCCACAGGTCATTCTACAAAGGAGTGGGGGAGAGCCGCACGGCTTGGCTCAGCGCCAGGCTGCCCTGGGTCCCCTGGCTGAGAGCAATTGGACGGCTCCTGCCGAGTTACGGAGCAACACCGCAGCCAGGCAGAAGTGGCCCAACCAGCCCGAGTCTCTGGGGGCTTCTCCAGGAGCCAAACAACTAAAAATAACCTGGGCCTTTGTTGTGCGCTGCGGGACTACAGAGATGGAGCTGATTTCAGGAAAGCTGAGCATGCGCAAGGGCCCCACTCACAGTGACCTGCCCTTTGGGCAAATGATTTTTCTAGAAATGTGTCAGTTATCGTGCTGTTGCTGTGATTCAAAGAGAGTCCAAGCCACTTCAGCCTACAGAGCTGTCCTCCAAAACACAGCAACCTCAGAATCTAGGCTCCCCTCCTCTTTCTTCTAGAAACATTTAAAAAACAAAAGAGTCCAGCTCATAGCAGGAGGAGGGGAGATTTAGGAGACAAGAACAGCCTACAAGCAGAGGGTTCAAAATCATTGCCGCCTTATCACAAATGACCACATTACCCTGACCATCCATTGAAGTAATAATTATCCAGCCTTCATCCTAACATTTCCAGTCAGATCTCTGCAGACAATAGCACACTTATTTGTGAAAGGAAGAAATTACTCGGGAAGAGGAATTCATAGTGTTACATCCATACTGAAGAGTTTCTCAACGCTGCGGTCCCTGTATCCACTATTTGGACACGCGGCCGGGGGTCTTTGCTCACCGGACTGGTGCCTGAGCTCTGCCCGGAGAGAGGGAACCGGCCCTGTACACTCAGCTCAGTCAGGGGCAGAGTCTTGAGCGCCTTCCTCTGTCCACAGGCTGTGGCTTGTCTCACCTCAAGGGCACCTCAGCTCTGAAGTGTCAGGAGCTAGGCCAGTCCCTTGCCAAGTCTCTCCTCATGAATAACAAACACTGAATGGCTACAGCAGGCCTTAACATTATTTTCCCAATGTTTCTTCCCACCTCTCAGTCCCTCCCCCTCCCCTATCAAGTGAAAATGCAGTCAATCAAGACCACCCCAGCTGTGGAAGCCACTGTTGAGGCTCTAGAAAGAACTCTTCTCCTCACAAAGACCGAAGAACAAGAAGGGGTTTCAAGGCTCCATCCTCAAGATGGCCTCCAGATCCAAGTCTAGAATTTTCCAGTGGCTTGAATAAGCAACAGCTTCTCCACAGCACTTTGTTCCTCTGGTGAAAATCTAGTATGAAGAGCCTAAACTGGGGGTGAACAGGCTGTGCAAAGATAGATTTTTTTTTTTTACAAAACCACCAAATTACACACAAGTGATTGATGAGTGGTCACAAAATGGCTTCCCTTAAAATGGAAACCAGTGAGAAAGTTGTAGTGCTAGGGTAAAAGTGAGAGGGTTCCACAGGGCTGGGGTTGGGGTTGTTCTTCGAAAGTGCAAAATCCTTCTGGTAGAACAAGGAGATGCTGGCTGAAGTACCGTCTGTGGGGCCAGAGGTAAAGTAAATACCTCTCACCCTCTTGGTTCCACATGTCCACGCCCTTCTGTGAGTATTCATTTTCCTTACAGTTGGTCTGTCTGGAGATGTGGGAGGATGGCTTCATGTGGTTTGAGCTGGGCTCTAGCTCAGCCTCTCCAGCATCAAGTCACTTTCTGTGACCTGGGGCTCTAGGCCTGGCAGCCAAAGGCCGAGGCTTTCTCTTTGAGCAGCTCCCAGCATAAGTGGCAGCTCCAGCTTCCTATAAGAGACAAGATGGCGTTAGTAGTTGCCCCTCTTCTACTGTTTGAGTCTCAGCCCAGTGGCACTAACTTCTTGTCAACCCTATTTTCCTTTGACTTTCACCATTCAGAGATCAAGTCTCAGTCCTGAAGACATATTGGAGTCTTGTTCAGCAGGAAATAAATGCTCAGAGGTCATCAGCTGAGCTATTGTAAAGACCCTCACTCCTTGGCCATTCCTCAGTCCCTCACAATCTCACCCCTCCCCACGTCTCAGCCACATGTCTAAGGAATATTTCCTCGGCCCTCAAGTTGAGATGCCAGTTGGGTGAAGCATGCCTCAGTTTCCTCATGTGTAATATGATGACGATTGTACCTACCTTGTAGGATCATGATGATTAAATGAGACAAGATATGAAAAGCCCTTAGCACAAGGCCTGCACCATAGTGAGGGCTCAGTAAGTGGTAGGAGTAGTGGCTGATGTTGTTACTGTTGACCGCATCGTCATTACCTTCTGGGGGCTCAGCCACGGGGGGCGTTAAACAGTACATGTGATAGCCACGGTCACAGTCGTCACAGAAGAGTAGCTGGTCCTAGCAGAATACAGACACGTACAGAACATAGGAGAGATTCGATTATTTGGGGCCAATATCTGGCTATTCCTCCAGGCTTATTTCCACAGATCAATTGCCTGGGTGCCTCTTTCCGGGTCCTATTTGGAGCCCTGCGTGGGCCTTGAGCACGGCTTGTGCTTTGCCTGCACCTGGTATTTCCCCTTCTGTTTCCCAGCCTTACAAATCCTGTCCTCAACTTAGGATTCTGCTTACCTCATGCCTCCTCCAAGAAGCTTTCCCTAACTACCACTTCACAGCCACACTTAAAAGGATTCCACCCTCTTTTAAACTCCCGTAGCCAACAACATTGCTTCCAAAGATCAGAAAATTAAGGTTATGCACTTCTCCCTCCCCCATGATAACTGCCTAAAATATGGACCATACTTTAAATATTTGAAATGCTTAATTGGAGTTCCTGGTCTCCCTGTCTATACGTGGTAGTAATATCCATGACCCATCAGACCGTCTTCAGGGTTTCACGATGTGAATGGAAAAGAAAAGGCCATCCTTTGGCTTCCAAAAGCCTCTTCACAGCCTGCAGGCTTGAGCCCAGGTGAGATCAGGAGACAGGCTGATTCTAGAGGCTGGAAGACCAGTCAGGAAACCAGTTAGGAGACTCCCAGGTAACAGAGAATGGTGGCCTAACCTAAGGTTCTGACATGGGGGCAAAAGATGGCTCTTGCTCCCATTTCAGATTCATTGATTAGACTTAGAGAATGATAAGGAAGAAATCAAGAATGTTCTTACAGGTTGTGGACTAGTCAATAAGTCAAATGACACAGCCACCCACTGAGACATGGGCAGAAGAATGAACCCATAGGAAGAGAGGACAACCTCAGCTGTAGACAGGTCCCACAGACTGACAGATCACCTGGCAGGGATGACCTAGAGACAGTCAGAGATCAGAGAAAGGTCTGGGTCTGACAGACAGTTCTGGAAGTCACTGGTGAGTACATGGCAAATGAAGGTCCTAAGAAAGGAAGCCAGGCGATTATGAGAGCAGATATCTTTGAATTTGTGCTTATAGAGGGGTATTCATGAACCTCTAGGAATGACACACACAACTTTTTATATAGAAAGGAATATATACTTTTCTGAGAAGAGTAAATCCATAGCTTTGATTGAATTCTTTGAAAGATCAAGGGCCCAAAGAGGTTACTGAGAAGAAGATTAAGAGCAGCTATTTGAGGAACACAAACTTTAAGAGACAGGCAGAGGATAGAGACTAAGAAGCTCAGACCAGGAGGTGGAATAAAAACCAGGGCACTATAGTTTACTGCCAAAAATTGCATCATCACATCAAGGTTCAAGTAAACTAAATGATGATATGACTTAGGGATAATGCAAAGAAAAATAAGCTAAGATGGGCCAGAGAACAGAGAGAGGCTTGTCAAAACTAGTATTACAAATGTCCTAAAAACATTAATGATCCCTAATATAGTACCAACATGAGAACCACAGGAAGGTGGATTAGACTTTCCCAAAGGAAAGCCAGATATCTGAGGGCTTATATTCATTTTTTCATGGATTGATCATGGTCTAGCACCATTTTCTTTTCTTTTCCACATGTTTGTCTAAATAATTCCCTGTTAAAAACACCAAGAACTCATATCTCATGCTAATTCTCATGAAAACACAATTTAAGGAGTTCTTACTCCTGTGTATGCAAGAACCAGGATCCACCTATGGCTATATTTCCATTAGAATGGGAATGGCATTCTGAGATATGCAGGGAAATTTTATGATCTTTTGAGAGGGGTGCTAATGCTCAAGCAACCTCCTGATTCTAGATTCATCTCCCTAATTCCTTCTCTAATGCTCTGTCACATTAAAACTCTGTATTGATACTACTTGCAAAGTCAAAGGCTAGAATTAACTGTTTGTCAGTAGGGACTAACTAGTTGAATAAACAAATGAAAGACTATGCAGCTATAAGTAAGAATGAAGAAGATACTTTCTGAAATGATAACACAGAAGTGGAAAAAACCAATGGAAAAGGCTATAGAAAAAAATAATCTCTTGGGTACAAAAAGAAATAATGATTGGAATTAAAGATATTAGAGTAGAAACAGATTTTAAAAATAAAAGGCCTTAAGGCAATGATGGAAACCATAAATGCCCAACATAGGAAAGAAATGGAATCCACGAAACAAATCCAGATAGAAACCCAAGTGATTAAAACCTCCACTGAAAGTATATGCAAAGAGTTAGAAAAAAGGTGAGGATAGAATATCAGATCTAGAAGACAGGATTGTGACTATAGGCCATGAAAAGAAAGATATCTTAAAAATAACAAGAGACCATGAAAAGGCAACCCAACAGCTACAAGATGAAGCCAAGAAGAACAACGTAAGATTGATTGGGGTCAATGAGGAAGATGGACACTGCAAATGCCATAAAAAACTTCTTCAGAAATCATGACAGAAAACTTCCCAAAATTAGATAAAGAATTTGACACACAAATAAATAAAACAACAAAAGAAACAAACTCCAAATAGCCAAAACCAAAATAAATCTACACCAAGGTATATAGTAATCAAGATTCCAGAATTCAGCACAAAAACAGATTATTAAAAACATAAGAGAAAAGAAACAAATCACCTATACAGGAAAGCCCATCAGAATCACAGCAGGCTTCTCAACACAAACCTTCAAATCAAGGAGAGCTTGAAGTAAGGTATTTCAAGCCCTAAAAGAAAACAACTTTCAAACCAGATTGATGTATCCCACAAAACTCTTTCAAAACTGATGGAGAAATAAGATACTTCCATGACAAAGAACACCTGAGGAGATTCATGGCCACGAAACCAGGTCTTCAGAATGCTCTGAAGATATGTTAGAAAGAGAAAATGAAAACCCCAATCACAAGAACACCAATAGAAAGAAACCACCAAGTAGGATAAGCAATTAAACACAACGGAAAGGCATGGAACCAACAACAAGAAAACAGTGTGAGAAAGATAGGCCAATACATATCTTCTATAACCATGTGTGTAAATGGTCTCAATTCACCAATCAAAAGAAACAGACTGTGAGAATGGATCAAGAAGCAAGATCCAAAAATATGCTGCATTCAAGATATGCATTTAACTCAAAAAGAAATTCATAGACTGAAAGTCAAAGGATGGAAAACAATACTTCATGCCACAGGAACCCAGAAGAAAAGCAGGAATAGCTATTCTACTTGCAGACCATGCAGACATTAAGCCAAGACTGATCAAAAGAGACAAAGATCACTACATTCTTGTTAAGGGAATACTCCAAGAAGAGATAACATTCATAAATACATATGCACCAAAAACCAGTGCAGCCAATTACACAAAACAAATATTAACAGACATGAAAAATCAAATAAGCACTAACACAATCGTAATGGGAGGACCATAATATTCCACTCTTAGATAGATCAACTAGACACAATTAGATAGATCAACTAGACAAAAAAACTCAACAATGAGATATTAGAACCAAACCAAACTTTTGAACAAATGGACTTAGTAGATGTCTACAGAGTGTTCCACCCCACAACATCAGAATACACATTCTTCTTAGCTGCACACAGGACATTCTCCAAAACAGACCATGTATTAGGCCATAGGACATGCTCAAGTAAATGCTTAAGATCTGAAATTATCCCATGTATATTACCTGACCATATTTCAGTGATTGGAAATCAATGGCAAAAGAAACCACAAAAACTACATAAACACATGGAAATTGAACAATATCCTCCTAAACAACCAATGGGTCACAGATGAAATTAAAGAAGAAATTAAATAGTATCTATAATTAAATGAAAATGCCAATACAACATATCACAACTTATGGGATGCAATGAAAGTAGTCATATGAGGGAAATGTATAGTGGTATATTCTTACATCAGGAAAACAGAATGAGCTCAAATAAACAACTTAATGTTGAACCTCAAACTACTAGAAAGGGAAGACCAAATCAAACCCAAAACTCACATGAGAGAGGAAATTATAAAGATCAGAGCAGAAATTAATACAATTGAGACTAAGAAAACAATACAAAGAATCAATGAATCAAAGAGTTGGTTCTTTGAAATATTAAATAAAATTGATAAACTTCTAGCCAAACTTATCAAAAAGAGGAAAGAAAAGACCCAAATTCAAGCAATTAAGAATAAAAAGGGTGGGGCTGGGGATTTAGCTCAGCGGCAAAGCGCCTGCCTGGCAAGCGCAAGGTCGTGAGTTCGGTTCCCGGTACCGGAGAAAACCACCCCCCCAAAAAGAATAAAAAGGGTGAAATCACAATGGATCCTGTGGAAATCCAGTCAATACCTACTTTAAGAACCTATATTATAATAAAATGAAAACATAGAAGAAATAGACAAATTCCTAGAGACATATAAATTGCCAAAACTGAATCAAGAAGATATAAATATTCTAAATAACATGATATCAGTCAATGAAATTGAAAACCTACTAACAAAGAAAAGTACAGACCCTGATGGATTCACCACTTTATTCTACAAGAAATTTAGAGAAGATCCAATGCCACTAATGTTCAAACTCTTTAATGAAATTGAAAGAGAAGCAAACTTCCAAAATCATTCCTGGAAGCAAGTATTACTCTGATACCAAAATCAGAGAAAGGTCCAACCAAAAAAGAAAACTACAGGCCAATCTCCCTAATGAACATAGGTGCAAAAATCCTCAATAAGATACTGGCAAACAGAATGCAGCAAATCATCAAGAACATTATACACCATGATCAAGTAGGATTCATTCCAGGCATGCAGGAATCATTCAATGCACACAAATCAATAAATGTAATATACCAAATTAACAAAGCCAAAGACAAACATCACATGATCACCTCAATAGATGCAGAAAAAGCTTTGACAAAGTCTAGCACCATTCATGATAAAAACCCTACAGAAAATTGGAGTAGATGGTCTTTATTTCAACCTGTTAAAGCCATCTATGACAAACCAACAACTAACACCATACTA